AGGATCCAGGAGAGTAAACCAGCAGAAAACCAGATCACAATCAGAGCTAACCATCTGTTAATTTACTTTTTTTTTCATTTAGACAAATGGAAAACGATTGCATTAAGATCTTCAGTGGAGCTGTATTAAGTTCTTCTCTGTAGGATGGAAGTCTAGATAAGGAAGTTTATTTTGAAATAAATGATGGGATTTTATCACATCAGAAAAATAAAAAACTCTATCAATTTTCTGTGAGAGACTGGGGGAAAAAAAAAAGTCACATCACTCAGCAGACAGAATCCATCTGCCCCTGTTTCCCAGAAATAAAAGATTTAAAGGTCAGCTGAGGTCACCATAGAAATACTAGATACCATTCTGGGAAAATATTTTGACAGTTACTGATAAGATGAATGAAACTAACACATATTAGAAGATATGCACAATAATGAAAGAGTTTACATCTCATCTCCACTGAATTTCTTACAGAGAGCTTGTGCAAGTACTGTCAGACTCCACTAACAGCAACATACTAGTAATTCATACAACTGGTAAAGATCCTAGGGACTAATTTTCCTGTAGCAATAATCATTCCAAAACCTCCTATGACACCAGTTACTTAAATAACCACTGAATGGGGAGTAGAACATCTAAATATTCGAGAAGACAGCTTGAACAACAAAATGTAAAAGCCTTATTTGACACGTAGGAAATGGAATAAACCAACATTTATCTGTGGAGAAGGAACCAAAAGACACCTCTCCAACTGTATCTTTTCAAAGTTCTCTAAATATATTAGTCACTTTTCCTAAAACTTTTATAACAGAAAACAGCATAGCTGCAAACCCAGCATTATTTTTACTCGTCTGAACTGAAATCTGCCCTATCCTTTTCTTTACAGACTTTCTTTGCATAATTTGCTCTGGTCACCAACATTTTGAAACTGAGTATCTGCTCTTTTTGTTTGTTTGTTTGAAGTAATATCCCCACGCCTCACTTCCTGAGGGGTTTTTTTCCCACCAGTCTCGTGTCTTCCTCACCAAATGATGCAACGACCTGTGGACTCTCTCTACCTAGTCTCCTGAAATGCAAAACAGCTTTAACTGACTTTGATCAAACTTGGATTACACACAAAGAGTTTTTACCTCTGGCATAAGACTGACTGTAGGAACACTGTTACCTACTTGTTAGACTGTGATGGACCCATAAAAACTGGAAGGACAATAGGGAAAATGACATTGTCGTGTGTGTTAAATTTTCACTCCCATGTAGCATATTGAAACACTCAAGTTTGGTAAAGCAACTAGTGACAAAATAGATTCTCAGGTGCAGGGATTGTCCACTTTGAAGCACATAAAACCTGGGAAAACTCTTTCTCCTTGTGTTGTTTTCAGCATTCATCATTTGAAATGCCAGAAAGGATGCAGCATCCCAGCCTTGTATTTTATACCACTCCCTGTAAACCTTCCAGTTTTCAACTCATTCCTGCAACAACATCCACTGGTGCAAAGGCAGAAGATCAATGAAGCATCAAGAACAATGTTCACGTTTTGAGTATGTTCTTTTGCACTCAATATTTTACTTAGCTTTTATGAAAGTTCAATATAGCACAGAATATAAACCACAAACAATTTAAATTGGACTTTGCAGTGTAAATAACCATCAGGTAAAGGGACTATAGAATCTACTTAAAATATTAGAGATTCTTGTATACAAAAAGAAACACCCCTCTGAAGCCAAATCATAGTAGTAGATAACTCAACAGGAGGAATGTTAATGTTCACATTTTGAGTATGTTCTATTGCACTCAATATTTTACTTAGCTTTCATGAAATTCAATATAACTTCAATTAAGTTCAATAACAGAATATAAACCACAAACAATTTAAATTGGACTTTGCAGTGTAAATAACCATCAGGTAAAGGGACTATAGAATCTACTTAAAATATTAGAGATTCTTGTATACAAAAAGAAACACCCCTCTGAAGCCAAATCATAGTAGTAGATAACTCAACAGGAGGAATGTTAAGCTGGAAAAGAATTGAACCAACATCAGCTATACAGAATATTGCCAATACCCTGCACTTCATTGTCTGTATCCCTTAAAAATTACCACAAAGCATTTTATTTGTTCTATGTTCTTTATATCCCATGGCAAGCATCAAAAGCTGTGTGCAGATTTGATCAATAACCACTAGCCAAAAAATGATCCATCGTTTTCCAGATATCAAACAGCAAAAAAGCCAAACCACTAATGTCCAGTTAACTTCAGCAGCTGTAAAGCAGGAGCAGGATTGCAGTGGTTTAAGGCTGTATGAGTAAAAGATATTAAAGATGTTCATCTTTGCTAAATCATCTCAAAGCTAACATCCTGTGACAGCTTAGCCAGCTCTTGATCTGACTTATAACTGTCATGTTTTGTGTATGCCTTTCAGTTTCACCCTTGTGAAACTCATCCAAGCTTTTAAAAAAATTCCCCAAGTCATTTCTCTTGTCACGAGGAATATGTTTGGCATTACTGAGAACCCAGGAAAATCCATCCCCAGGTTTCAAGCAAATGGTTAAATACTAAAGCAACCCATTCTCTAGGCAGATGCCTAAAAAGGAGCTGCCCACAAGCTAGATATCTAATCTTCTAACCTAGTTAGAGTTATTTAAGTTATCCCATATTAGATTCTGACAGTCATCTGAATGGCCCTTCAGGTTCTCTTTGCAGTATTGATCTGATCTCCATCAATTAGACCAGGAGCTTAAGCAACTGAGGCTCAAATGATTAGATAGAAGTTGGAGTCTGGCCATTTGTTCTTCTCAGAGCCTACACAACATGGAGGTGGGGCTGACAGAGACAAGATCCACAGCAGAGTCAAATGCTTCGGAGTGGCAGATTGAGGAGCCTCTGTTCCAAATTAGCAGACTATTTAACCCAGTAGCTTAAAAAGGCATTAGGCATCCATCTTTAAGTAACTGAATTGAGACCCTTTAGTTTACTTGTCCATACTTAGATACAGAAACCTGAAATTAGGTGCTTTAATCTGTAAGATGAATCCTATCCCCTATATCTGCTAAGATCAGCTAGGAAAACAATGTTTAATGCAATATTATTCTCAAATTCAGCCATCCCAGATATGTTTAAATTAGAAGTACTTCATTTTCTCTAACTTAAGTATAACTTTTGTATAACGTTCACTTAATAGCTGTAAAAAAGAGCTTAAATTGATTACATTCCAAAATAAAGCAGGAAAAGAAAAGATTACAGGAATTGTGCAGGTCAGAGTATTAAGAACAGAAAAAAAAAAGGGGGGGGAGGGGGAAGAAAAAAGGAGAAAGATAAATTCAAAACCATTTCATGGTAACCATAAAAACAGATGCTTACACCATTATGTGCTCAAGCAAAAATGGTGAAACTATATTAGCCACCTTCAGTGTGGTCATAAATGCCTGTAGTCACTTAAAACTCCTCTGTAAATGTGGTCAGAAATAAAATATTTCTGGTCCAAGGGCAAATTGTATTGTTACAAAAAACCCATGTACTTAAAAAGAGGCACCACAACAAAACAAGAAGCCATAATAGACCAGCTTCCTAAGTTTTTTTTGAAAGACCCTTCAAGATGACACATAACAGTGACAACTCCACAAAACAAGATCCTGCAGGAAGCAATCCAGCAAGTTCTTTTCTACCACAGTCTCATCACTTGTGATTTAATGCTCTCTGTACAATTTCTAACCCATAAAACAACAGCATACACTTCACTCCCATTCACGGTACGAGAACTTTTCAGCTGTCACTTCATAAAAACTAAAAAGCCAGTAATATATGCTTTTAAATTCTGCACCATCAGAAGCAGCTATTGCTTGAGGTTACTATTATATGGAATTATACCTTTAAAAAGCCATAGTTCATTTTGAACTGTACAAAAGAATGAATAAGTACTGAAGTTTTCACTACTGATGCTGCATTGTATCACTCTACCAACCAACTATAACAGTACCAGTGAAAATAATAATGTTAAATAGTCATCTTTGAACAGTTTCTTCAACATTATTTTGATGATTCTAGCAAAATTGGATCAAAATGGGCCACCTGATACTCTGGTAGCAAGGACAGACAAGAAAAAGCAAAATACAAGATGCTCACTTTGATACCTGTTTGCAAACATCTATATTTTCAGAAAGGTTATTGATATTCCTTAGGACTATTTCACATATCCCCCATAGGGCACAGCAACAGTTCTTACGAGTTTTAATATGCAATATTAGGCTGAGAGAATTTTCTGGGATAAGTTACACAGAACAAAGGTTATGCACTACAGGTTAACACCACGTTGAACGATTTAGCACCTCTTGAAACCCTATGAAGATAGCTGCATTTAAAACACTGCAGATAAATTTCTTTGTGTGAGCAGAACTAGTGCTGAACTCACTACTTCCATGGTAACTGAATATTTAAAAGCTCCAACAGTACAAAACCTTCAGTAATTTAACCCAAAGAGCAAACAGATGACCTTACATGGGTATCCATAGGTAACACCCAAACTAACACAACAACCACCATCACATAGTGGGAATCACATTGAAAATTAATTGTATTGACCCTCATTAAGAAAATAATTCTGAGGTCATTTCCAACTTCTACTTCTTGCCATTAGTGTTCATTGAAAAAGGTATTTTACCCCAAAAGGAAACTTGTTGGTGATTTATTACATAAGAAAAAACTTCAATGCTCTGGGGAACATCGAGCTCCTTCACAGGGAAAGCAACATTCCCTTAAACTTCTGATAGTACCAAACGTCTACCAAACGACTGCAGTATGTTAAAAAGTTAAATAATTCATTTCTTATTGCCAGCAAAAAGTCAAATATTTCAAACAGCACCACCAGGAGAAGGCTGAATAACTCAAACAGCGCTACCTTCACCCGCCCTGTAAAACCACGTTTTTGTCAAACATTCAAGGATGAAACACGAGCTCTAGACAGGTTCCACCATCTAGGGAAGGAGGAGCCAGCAAGAAGAGGAGGTGACTTACGTTATTCATGTACTCGCTGAGCAGATCCTGCAGGGCCTGTCTCACGGCGTTGCACTCGGCCACGATGCGCTCCCGGCGGTCGTCGCGCGTGCAAGAGGAGTCGGCCATCAGCGCCGCCCCGCTGATGATGCTCTCCAGCCTCTCCTCCAGGGAGGGCCTGAAGCGAGCCTCACTGAACGTCATGGGGTCTAAAATGATTTTGTTCTAAAAGACAAAAGATGTGGGGGGAAACGATGAGCATACAGGGGTCTTTGGCGGGTTTTAAGCGTCTCTTATTTCAGCGGTTTTATGGCATATTTAGTCTTTCATATAAATAAATCATCTACCAGATTCCAGAAAAAATCAGTTGGACTGAAACATCTAGTAGCTCTGAAATCTCAACATAGGAATGAAATTAAAAATAATTATATATAGATTAATAATTCACCATCTATTGTTTTAAAAGGCGACTGTTTGGAGCAACACAGCTGGTTCCCATATATATTTGGGAAGCACAGTAGAAACAAAATCAAGCTGAACAATTTCAGCCTGCATGCAATACGTTCACGTGTCTTTCTACCTCTATACACTCTATGTATATATTTCATCTTGAACTAAGCTAATAGTCTCCTTCCCTAAATTTTCTGAAAATTTCATGGATAGCCAGGAAATTCATATAGAAGGTACAAGTTATTTATGACTGCAGAGAAAGTGGCATATTCTCCGTTAACTAATCCTTTCATTCTGATTATTTGTATTAATAGACAACACTGCTGAAATGCTACTAGATTGTCTCAGTGTTAAATAAAAAAAGAAATTCTGATTACCACTGCAAGAAAGCCATTATTAGATAATCACAGATGAAAATGTGAAAGATCTCCGATTCATATGCTTTAGCACACCTTTAAAAAGCATTTTTCTAAAGGCTTTTTCAAGCTTTTTCTTTGTTTTTAAATCAGGAAAAAGTGTTGGATTACTAAAGTAAAGAGGGCATTACAGGAAGACAATCTAAAAATGTCTTTGTCAGCCTACTGGTTAGCAAAGTATCCTTATTCCACTAGGAAAAATACCCAAAACCTAATAAGTCAAATTTTTAAAGACTGTTTTCTATTAAAGACATTTTAATTCTTAAATTGTGATCACTGCTAAACCCTTCTATACTTTTTATAGAGATCTAATTACCAAATATCAAATACAGCTAAACCACATAGAGTCTACCCCTATTTACTGTAGAGCTTTAGGAATATTGTGAGTTTTGAGTCACCACTGGATTAAATTGTGAATTGCTTTTCTCCCTTTGTAGTTCAAGGTAACAAATACAAAAGATACAATCTGCTGCTCCCACTTACAGACACATTAACAACACCATGTAATTCAGTAATCTTTTTGCTGCAGTTACGGAAAGAAGTTTCATAATTGAATATTATCTAAAAATGCTCTGTAGGCCCTGCACTTTGAGCTTTAAAAGAAAATAAATCATTAAATAAGAACAAAAAAAAGGTAAAAATATTCTGTTTTTCTAATAACCATACCTATGTTAAAGCACAGTGGATTTTTGTTAATGAGCCATTTTTAGTTTCACATTTTGATAACTTTATGATTAGTCTATTTCCTTTAATAACCAAGAGCAATCAACAAGCACCAGCCAAATGATAGAGTTAATTTGGAAAAATACAACACCGTGTATTAAAATGTAAATCAGGATTTAGTGACATGATACATCACCAACATCTGCCTTTGATATTGAAAACTATATCTGTTTATTATAAATCAGAGCATGCTCAACTTATTCTAGGCTAAATTCTGATTCCAAGCGATTAATTCAGTGGGACAAGGCTTTTAGAGAAGATCTGCTTATTTCTCAATAAAACTTCCAATTAACTCCACACGCAGAAAAACATAACTCTCATTACTAAAGAAAGAAAAGAGAATCAAGCCCTCAGAAATGTATAGAACAGAAAGTTAACTGAATGCATGGCAGTTAAACAGTAACAAACATACCGATATCAGGAAATTCATGAAGAGTCATAATTTAATAAAAAGGAGAAACAGAAGAATATTAACCACACACACATTGATCCAGCTCCAGGAACTGCTGACTTAGCAGAAATAAATGCAGCATTACTCAGAATGTGAAATAATGCCTTTTATAACACTTCTAGGGTTTACATTTCACAGCAATATGCAGAGTAGTTTTGCAAGCATCTAAATTAGAAATGATGTCTCCAAATGTTGTTTATGCAAATTTTTAGTCAAATCAATGTATAGAGTCCACCACCACCACACTTATGCTGATAAACATTGAAATTTTCAGAAATCATGAAAGAACGTATATACGTCTTCACAAAATGATATTTATTTCAGTAGTAACAAGACTAAAGTTGCATCAAATGAAATAACTTAGCAAATTATGGCATTAGTAAGCAGAAAAAATAATTATCTGCATGTTTCAGATTATATTCAGCGTTTCCTTACTCAAATCTGGTTGTGTTTCTCTTAAATAAATGACCATAAAATAATAATGTTAACATTCATGATAGGTTTGGTTGGTTTTTTTTTTTTTTTTTTTCAAATGGGCATTAAAAAAAACCACCTTCTTCATCCATAAATTCAAATCAAAGCTACACCCATACAGCACTACTGCCATTTTCATGTCTCAGTTATAGCAACATAATCAGTCCCTCCATGAATGTCTCACTTCTCCTTATAGCCATGGGTGTAAGGTTCTCTACCTACACAGCAAACTCCAAATGGTAGATCTCCCACCTTTCAGTGAATAATGAATCATTTTTTTTCTTCTCAGAGGTTTTTGAGCACCCTGCATTCGGTATTCTATGAGAGCCAAGGATCTACCAGGAATATACTCCTAAAATATTTCCAAACTCTTCAAGCCTTGAGGAACAAGCTTTAGGTCAAATATCTCCAATATCTCTGGTCCCTGAAACTCAACTCACTATTTTAACAAGCAGTTATGTCATACTCCATGAAAAATGCAGGAAACTCTGTACAGGCTACATGCAGATACCATTTACATTTTAAATAATAAAGTCTGTACCATTGAGTAGGTATAATTAATCCAAGCCAGCTTTCCTCACTGTAAAACACAGACAAGGAACACATTTTTTTCTGTAAAAAGGGGAGATGTTTATGACCAAACCTTAGGCTACAAGGAATAAAAGCCACTGAGTTGCACATAGTAATTTTCCCTCCATATTCAACAAACCTTTTGGTTTATATTGAATGTATAAGCTTAAGAAATGAGGTTAATACTTAAGTTATTCTGTTAATGACAATTCAGAATCACAGAATAATTTAAGTTGGAATGGAGTTCTCAAGGTTATATGTTTTAAATGCCTCCTTAAAGCAGAGCCAGTTTTGACATCAGGCCAGGTTGCTCAAGCTTCATCCAGTCAAAATTACATCTTCACCTTGGAGATTTTTAACCCTCATGTCACACAAAATGACCAGAACTAACTTTTGGGTCTCTCTTAATTTATTTTTACAACAAGAAACACTGCTGGGGAAGAAAGAAAAAGATTCTAGGGTAAGAAAGAGAACTATTCCTTGTTTAATATAACAAATAATGACATAGTTACTTTCTGAGAAGTGCTTATAAATAAATTATATTTTGGATGTTTATTTTAAACTCTAAGAACTTCTCAAATATCTCACAAGGACAACAGGTTTTGAGGTTTGGAAAAAAGAGAACAAGAACCTGCTACATGACAGCTCTTGACATTCAGTTCCCAAAGAGACACTATTTTTTTGTTTTTGAAAGGTTTTACTCCTTTTCAAAGAAAGCTGAGCACCTAAATGCAAATTCAGACTAGGTTATTGACATGTACAAAGTTCTTACACATACAGTAACAAGAAAAAAAACTTCTTCCATCACTTCTTTATAGCCAGTTAATGAGTGGTGAATGTAAGTTAACTGGAACATTTTACATTTCTAATTAGTTAACTAATATTAAAGCCATAAATCAAGGACTGACACTATAATTTAGGCCTTAAATGTTTCAAGCCTCTTTACAACTCCAGACAGATTAGTACAAATAGTATCTTTCCTATGAACATAGGTATTTTTTGATTCAGTTGTTGAAACAAAGTCCATGAAAATTGTTTTCAATATAATTAGTGACTTAGCTGAGAACTGTTAAACTTGTAATACCATCCTTTTTAAATATATTATAGTCAACCTTTTCCTCTTGTACTCTCCATTTGAAAAAAATATATAAAGGTGTGTTTACAGAATAGTTGCAATGTTTTCATAAAGAATAAAAACTTTCAGAAAACAGACATCTTCATACTAATTAGTAGTGTAAGCCCTCTTTATCTTGCTCAAACAGGAATAAACTATCACGAACACTAACAAACTATAGAGCATCACCTCTGAATTTTAAGTTATCACAGAAATTATTCACACTTCAACTAAAATTCTTACAGTTTTTATTAGACCTATAAAGTAAAACCAAAACATTAAAAGATGTTTTAAAGTATTAATTTAATCCTAACTCCAAAATAGCTATGATTATTATATCATTGTCTGTGTTTTCCAAATAATGCCTGTGGTTTTGCAAGAACTTTGGTACTGCTCAGCATTTAGGGAACCTTGGAAAAAGACACATGGAAAAAACATAATTTTTTCAAAGTTCTAAATAGCATTAATGAAACCACTACCACCACTATAACCACCACAAAGGGACCTTAAATTACAGCTCAGCTTCAACTCACAATGAAAATTCAGAGAGGGAAAGGTTTAGATAACCTCTTTTTGGGGAAAAAAAAAAAAACCAAACAGCAGAACACCAACAGACACATCCACAAAGTTTTCCTGTGTATGTAGCTGTGTGTGTGTGTTTAACAGGGAAGGTCAGATTCTTACCTTCATACAGAAAAATCTTTCTAGAATTCTCAATTATCTCACATTCAACCAGTAACTGAGAGAACAAGAAGGAATTTAGCATTTCCTCGTGCTTCTTTCATTTTTCTGTTGTATAAAAGAACAACAAAAGTAACGATGGCATTTATTGGACTCTTTATACTATTTACTGGTTCTTTCAAACACACAAATGCCACAAATAATCAGAAGTTATTTCCTGTTATAATTGCATAGAAAGAGAACAACAAGGAATTTAGCATTTCCCCATGCTTCTTTCATTTTTCTATTTTTTAAAGGACAACAAGAGTAATGATGGTTCTTTCAAACACACAAATGCCACAAATAA